TGGCGGGTGAGCTTCCGCGAGCACTGAAGACAGTAACCACTACGCTACCGCTGATCAACGACAAGAAGCACGTCCCGGAGGTGGCCGCCCTCTCCCCGGAGGGGAAAGTTGGACATGCCCCACCTCCCCTTGAGGTCGCGCCCGACAGCCTGCCTTGGGCCAAGCTTCAGGACCAGATCCAACGCGACATTAAACACATGGCGAAGAAGGCCAGGCCAGCGATGGACGGGTCGCGCTTCGAGCATTGCATGGGCAGCTGCCAGGAGATCCGGCGCCTCACATCGCAGATCGGTGTGGCGTGGGCGCGCGGGCTGGCACCTGCAGTAGCCTATTCGGCGTGCCGCGTGGGCAGACTGCTCACGCCGGCCAAGCCTAAAGGCGGGCTGCGGCCGTTGGTGATCACGGCTGTGCTGAGGCGCATCGTCTTGAAGAGCCTAGCCCGAGCCATTACGCCCGAAATCCGCGCGCTGCTGGAGCCCGTGCAGCACGCGATCGGCGTGGCAGGTGGCACAGAGAAGCTGTACCACACGGAGTCGGCACTGCTAGCGGGCTGCCCGGGGAAGGTGATCGTGGCCCTCGACCTCAAGAACGCCTTCGGTTCGATGAGTATGGCGGTGATGCGCGAGGCGATGAAGAAGGTCGCGCCGGAGTTGAACGCACTCGTCACGCGGCTCTACGCGGGGGTCACGCCGCTGCTCTGGGAGCAGGCGGGCGGAGGAAAGACCGCATTCCAGGCCAAGACTGACATCGACGCGGGCTGCCCATTCTCGTGCATCCTCTTCGGTTTGGGGCTACACAAAAGTCCTTGCGAAAGCCCGGAGCACGGCGCCAGCCCAGACGCAGAAAGCATTCATGGACGACGTCTACTCGGTCTGCAACATGGCAGACGCAGGCGGGGTTATCAAGGCCTTCGGCGAAACAGCAGCACTAGCAGGCACGGAATTGCACCCCTCCAAGATCCACATCTTCGGGGCGCAGCGGCACCAGCTCCCAGGGCACCTTCAGAAGCACCACGTGGATAGCATGACCATTTTGGGCAACCAGGCCGAGCGCACCGGCGACTCCATGCCCGTGTTGGGCACCCAGGAGAGCGAGTTCGACGTGATCATCGGCAAAGTGGCGCGCGATGTGGACCGCATCCTCGACCTGCAGCGCCACGGGCTGAGCCTCCAGACGGCGCAGGTGCTGTCACGCACGCTTGCTGCAACCAAGCCCCAGTACGTCATGCGCAGCACGCTCGTCTCAGAGGAGGGGCGAGCGCGTTTCGAGGCTGTCACGGCGAAGGTGTGGGAGCGCACCGTAGCGGCAGCTTGGGACGATGGCCAGCTAACGCCGGCCATGCGCGTCCAGCTACAGCTCCCCCTGTCGGCGGGTGGCTTTGCAGCAGGAGGCGTCCTTGACCGAGCTCCGGCGGCGTTCCTCGCAGGCACGCTGGCAGCCCTCCAGGAGGTCCACAAAGAGCTGGGCACGACGACAGTCGAGCACTTGCGCCGGCAGCACCCGAAACTCATCGCGGACGTGGAGCAGGCGACCGCGGAGCCGGTGGCAGGTACAGGCTCCCGGGTGCCCGCGCTATGGCAGGCGGATCGTCAGCGCAACCTCCGAGGCCGCCAACAGGAGCGGACAAAGGCAATGCAGGCGCAGCGTCGGCAGCGGCTCTACCAGACGCTCGGGCGCCGGCAGAAGATCGCCCTCAATGAGGCGGCGGAGGACGGCGGTAAGTTTGTGCCGGCGCCGACGCGCGAGGAGCACCGCATGGCGGACGCGCAATTCGCCGTCGCGACGCTCCGCCGCTTTGGCGTGAACTGCTGTCCAACCGGGGCGACCTGCAAGAACAGGAAACCCACCGGCGAGGTCTGCGGTGCCGCCTTGGATCCGGAGGGCCACCACGGCGCCATCTGCGAGTGCGGCGGCGGCTTCGTGCGCCGGCACGACAGCGTCCGAGACACTCTCCAGAAGAGGCTTGCACGAGCACCTGGGCGCCAGCACCCACATCGAGTCGAGCAGCGTGTTGCCGAGATGGGGCGCAACGGGGCGGTGGCGAGACTCGACGGTCACGATTCCAGGCAGAACAACAGATTTCCTGGACGTGGCTGTGGTCGACTCGCTTTCCGCCTCGGTGGGCATCGAGCTGCAGCGCGCGGCGACGCCCGGAGCTGCGGCGGCGGCGATGGAGCGCGAGAAGCGTTCCAAGTACGGGCCAGACACCCGCCTCGTGCAGTTCGTCCTGGACAGCCGCGGCCGGCTCGGCCTCACGGCGAAGAGCTGGTTGTGCCACGCGCACGCGGGCAAGGCGCCAGAGCGGCACTCCCTCCTCCGGGAGCTGGACGCGCTGGCACAGTCGCACACCGCGAGCATGGTGATAGCCAGTGCGACTCAGGTCCTGACGCAGCGTGGGCCCAGTTCCCGATCCGACTGCGGAGATGTTTCGCTCGCCTCCCTGCCGTCCTCCCCGCCTCCCCCCTTGGAGATGTGTGTGCGGCGGGCGCCGCGCAGCACCGCGCGCTGTAAACGCAGTTGCGCGTCCTGCGCCCCAAAATGGGGCTCCGGAAAACCCCCCCCCTAAGGACCCTTAGGGGGTGGGGGGTTGGAAAGAAGCATTTTGGATGTACACCCTGCGAAATGCTTAAGAAATCACGGGTTAAGAAATTCATAGTCTCAGAACTTGAATAAAAACCCAACATCTCCGTTAAAATCTTAAGATTTACATTGAAACGTTAAGAATAATCGAGACCCTGGCCGAAAACTTAAGTTTTCTTAAGCATCGCCTAAGGTGTACCGGCCGATCCGCGGCTCTAGGCGGCAGAGGGGCATAGATTGCATTTTTCACACCTGCGCGGCCACCCTGTAAGATAGGAGCGCGCCTTGATTTTCCAATATCGCCTCCCCTACTCCTTCCTCCTTCCCCCCTCTCCCTGTCGCTGTTTTTGGGGGGTGTGCCTCGTCGCGGGCGCCCGGGGTGGTCTTTGGCCTCCCACCTGGGCGTCGACAAAAACTTCCCTGACAGGCGCACCTCCCTGCTGTGTTTTTTTTTGCTTGGACCTCCGGCCGATGCGCCTGGCCCCTGTGGACATCAGACCTAAAGAGGGTCTGATGCTGGGGCCGCGGATTCAGCGGAGGAGGAGGAGATACAGGAGGAGGACAAGGAGGAGGAAGAGGAGAGGAGAAGAAGAAGAAGAAGAAGAAGAAGGAGGACGCTCGAGGAGGACGTGGGGCGACCTCTGGGGAAGTGCCTTTTTTGCATCTTTTCACGCCTTTTCGGAAGGACCCAGCCTCGCGCAAATTTTCTCGGTCCTCCACAGACCTCTGGGGTCCCTCGTTTGGCTCCCAGGGCGCAAGGAGGCCTCCAGGAGCCCCCCGAGGACCTCTCGAGACACTGGGCGACCTCTGGGGAGGCGGAGGAAAAGGAGCAGGAGCAGGAGGAGGAGGAAGAGGAGGAGGAGGACGAGGAGAATGAGGAGGCTCAAGGAGGAGGGAGAGGAGGAGATAGAGGAGGAGGAGGAGGAGGAGGAGGAGGAGGAGGAGGAGGAGGAGGAGGAGGAGGAGAGGAGAGGAGGATAGGAGGAGGGAGGAGGAGGAGGAGAGGAGGAGGAGGAGGAGGAGGAGGAGGAGGAGGAGGAGGAGGAGGAGGAGAAGGAAATTGAGGAGGAGGAGGAGGAGGAGGAGGAGGAGGAGGAGGGAGGAGGAGGAGGAGGAGGAGGAGGCGGAGGAGGAGAACGACAACGACGACGAGGGATTGGGCAGGCAGCAGGGCGGGAGGCAGGGGGAAATGAGGGAGAGCGGGAGAGGGGAAACGAGGAGAGCGAGGGGAAGTAGCGGGAGGAGCGATGGGGAGGGCGGAGGGGGACGAGAAAGAGAACAAGGAGGGGGTGGAGGAGGACGACGAAGACAACGAAGACGAGGACAAGGAGGAGAAGGAGAGAAGGATAACAAAGGGGGTACGCGGAGGAGAGAGCGGAAAAGGAGGAAGAGGCGGAGGAAAGGGGACCAAAGGATCTATACGTTGGGCTTTACGTGGATGGTTCTTCCCCGCAGGGCGGAAGCCACCCCACGCCATGTGCTGGCATCCCGCAGGGCCTCTTGGCCATCGCCGCCAGGGCGGCGACGTTGTCCCGCTGGACTTGGCCCTGGGAAACAGGCCGCGGCCAGGAATAGAAGAGGGTAAAGAACCAGGTGGGTGACCCGCGGGCAGGGGGAAGAGCGCAGGGACCCAAGCGGATGTAGAAGAACAGTGGGGCCATGTGCACCTGGCCCGTCGTGCCTTTTTGGTATCCTTTTGCTGCGTGGCCTGCATTGCAGACTTCAGCCCCAAGTTTACCAGGGCGCTCACCAGCGTGTCCGTGCATAAAAGGCTGTGGAGCTCCATCTCAAGCCCGTGCCTGATCACCGCTAGCGGCAACCCCTTCTCGGCCACGCTGTTCGCACCCGGTGACGTGCCGCGGAGGAGGAGACGCCATGGAGGCGATGATCCCCGAGTGACCCACAAGGCTGAGAGCTAGCTGACATATGCTGGTGCAGCCTTACGGCCGCGAGGACTCTGAAGTTGAGGTGGCAGATCCCAGGTACGAGAGCGGCCGCTGGTCCGTCCGACCACAACTCAGCGATGAATACACCATCAATAAGGGCTTGAGCGAAGTCAGCCGAGATTGCCTGGACGGACGGTCCCACGCACGCGTGTTCACAGAGTGGCTCTGGTGGTTCCGCTTGAGACCATCAAGCGAAGTCATCCGCCGACCCCCGCTTGCAGGGAGCGAAAAGGTTTGTGAGATGCTTGGCTGTCATCCCTCCCCCTATTCGGGAGCGGCCAAGAGGGGGGTGTCCAAGAGGGGGGGGTGCAAATCATGACCGGCGGCATGTGCGCGGCCCAGCGGGGGGCCCAGGGACGTAATGAAACAAGAAGAGGCGCCATGAAATCTGGGGAAATATCATGGCCCGCTCCATGATATCCACCCCCCCCTAGTCATCACCCCCCTCCTTTCCGCTCCCGACCTATGCCCCCTCCACTGGGGTCCAAAATCCCGCCGGGCGGGGGCTGGGGGCGAGGGGGGGCGGGGAGCAAGGGCTCGTTAGCGCACCTCTGGGGCCCTCGGAGCCTCAGAGTCGACCTCCCGTGGTCGCCAAGATGCCCAGGATGCTGTCTAAGGTGGCTCCCGGGAGGCCTCAACGCGCCCGAGAGGCCCAGGACTCCAAAGAGAGGGCCCAAGAGAAGGCCTCAAGAGGCGCAGACAAGGAATTGCCGACTGGTTTTTAAATGATTTTCGCGGTCTCGCCTGTTCGGGCGTCTGCCCGCCCCGAGCAGCGCGAGAGACCGCCCCCCCCAGACTGGCCCGAGACGGCCGAAGAGGCCCCCGAGAGGGCCCAGAGACGGCCAAAACGAGGGGCCCGAGACGGTCCAAGAGGCCCACAAGACGGCGGACCAAAAAACTCAAGAGGGCCCCAAGAGGGGCCCAAGAGGCCGAGTAAAGGGGAGCCTGGAAGCCCAAAAGACCAACAGCAGGCCCCCAAGAGATTCCCAGAGAGCCCCAAGGGAGCCCCAGAAAAGCCTCCGAGGCCGAACCCTCGGCCCCCAGGAGGCCCCCAGGGAGCCCCGCAACGGGCGCGGAGGGAGAAGAGGACGAAGCAGCTACACGCAGGCAGCACGAGGAGGAGGAGGAGGAGGAGGAGGACGGAGAGTGTCGAACAACGCACGAGCAGTCGGAAACCGCACACCTCCTCTTCTGGGGATCGGCGGAACAGCGCAAGCCTCTTGAACTGTTAACGTTGCTCCGGTCAACTGTGGCAATGCCTTCAAGGACCTAGGTGTGACCATCAAACGACTTTGACCTGGCCCGTCAAGAGCGTAAACTACCACTGTGACGCTTCATCGGAAAAAACTGGGGCAGCTTTAGCATGAAACTTCAAAGTCTGAACCAAGTACTTGGAATCATTGTTTCTGTGGCTGACAGCCTTAGCCAAACAGATCCCCTGGCACTCGACATACACGTTGCTGCATAATCAAATAAAGGCTTCTGATTGGATCAAGGATTGCGCGTTCCTCCAGACTCGAGGGATTGCCTAGGGAGTAAAACGAGAAATCTGATTCATAGGGAAATGAAAAAAGAAGGAGGGAAGATGGATCAATTTGAAAAACATACAGCCAGGAGGATGCGAACCAGAGGGAGACAACTGCGTCTCGAGTCCATGCGCTTGGCTCGTCCGCCGCGGGGCATAACTTTGAGTGGAATACACCCCACTTGAGACCTATTCGGCGAAGCTCGTTCCCCCCACGGTACAGTGGAGGCCAGTCCACAAGAAAACGCCCACACCAGAGGACGTCCCTGGATTCTGCTGTGTGGGAACGTCACGCTTTCCGTCGCAAAACCGTCGAAACCCAAGCGACCCAGGGCACCCTGGAGGCGAGCAGGGTGTTTCTTGGCATGGGCCAACCCCGGTATGAGCACACACCGACGCCATCACGCCAACCGAAGCGGAAGCGACGCCCTTTTGCCTCTGAGCCGAAACCCTCCGGAGAAGGCGGAGAGCGGCCTTTCGGAGCGTTTGGGGAAGGTCGAACACCTTACGCTGTCCTGCAGCGGCCCCTCCCCGACTACACAAGGCCCCTCACCCAAATCCGCAACTGCATGTCTTACGCAGCAGTCGGAGGTGCGATGAGAAATGTGGACGCCACCGGCCCTGCCTACCATAAGCCTCCAATCAGCTTCGTGTCGAGTCGAACTGCGCGCGGGATGGCACGACCACCAAAAGCTGCTGCCAGAGGTGGGCGGCCAGCTCGGCCCCAGAGCGGGTGCGGACGGCGCGGAGTTCCTTTGTCGCCTCGCGGCGAGCAACGTAGACGCTCGAAACCCAGCTCCACCTCTCGCATGGGAACGGCATCAGATTATACAGTCGGGGTGTTGACCTAAGGAACCCCAAATAAGGAACGAGGCCCCTTTTTCCCATAAGTTAAACTCCGATTTACCATGGAAAACACAAGGAAAACCTGAGGCAAGCTGTGAAACAATCAAGGAACACGGAGTCCCTCCCCAACGAAAAGGGTTCCCTCTTCAGGGCCCCGACTGTATGTTAGCTTCGCCTGGTCGCGTGTAAGCAGCCCGTGGGCACAAAAGGTGCGTGCGGCGGAGACGACGACGACCACCACCAACACGACCACGACCACGACCACGACCACGACCACGACCACGACCACGACCACGACGACGCACCCGACGACAACGACGACGACCACGACCACGAAGGCGAGCAAAAGGAGGCGCGCGCTCGGACGTGGTACTCCAGCTGTGACTCGTAGACGAGAGTGCTGCAAATGGCGCACCTCCCGCGGCAGCAGCGGGAAGGGCGGCGAAAGGAGGAGCGGGGGGCGGGCGGCCCGGAGCGAGCCGAGGGGTCTTGCTGCTGCCTGGGAGCATTGCGTGGCATTGCTTGGCATTGCGCGTCACTGCGTGGCATTGTTGCTTCCAAGACTACGGAATCAAGGAACTACGACCCCGGAACCAAGACCAAGAAGCCAAGAATCCAAGACCAAGGAACTAGGGAACCAAGACCACGGAATATAGGAACAAAGACCGATGTAATGGTGACGGTGACGACCACGGTGACGGTGACGGTGACGGTGACGACGACGGTGAAAGTGACGGTGACGGTGACGGTAACGACCACGTTGACGGTGACCGTGACGGTGACGGTGATGGTGATGGTGATGATGGTGATGGTGATGGTGATGGTGATGGTGATGATGATGGTGCTGGTGGTGGTGGTGGTGATGGTGATGGTGATGGTCATGGTCATGGTCATGGTCATGGTAATAGTGATGGTGATGGTGATGGTGATGGATGATGGTGATGGTGATGGTGATGGTGATGTGATGGTGATGGTGATGTGATGGTGGTGACGGGTGGTGTGATGGGTGTGACGGTGACGGTGACGGTGACGGTGACGACGACGGTGAAAGTGACGGTGACGGTGACGGTAACGACCACGTTGACGGTGACCGTGACGGTGACGGTGATGGTGATGGTGATGATGGTGATGGTGATGGTGATGGTGATGGTGATGATGATGGTGCTGGTGGTGGTGGTGGTGATGGTGATGGTGATGGTCATGGTCATGGTCATGGTCATGGTAATAGTGATGGTGATGGTGATGGTGATGGTGATGGTGATGGTGATGGTGATGGTGATGGTGATGGTGAGGTGATGGTGATGGTGATGTTATGGTGATGGTGAATGGTGTGGGGAATGGTGATGGTTGATCGTATCGGTGATGGTGATGGTGATGGTGACAATGATGGTGATGTTGATTGGTAGATGGTGATGTGATGGTGATGGTGACGTGATGGTGGGATGGTGTGACGTGACGGTGACGGTGACGGTGACGGTGACGGTGGTGGTGACGGTTGACGGTGACGGTGCCGTGACGACGACGGTGATGGTGGACGGTGACGTGACGGTGACGGTGAGGTGACAGTGGATTGGTGATGGTGATGGTGATGACGAATGGTGATGTGATGGTGATGGTGCTATGGCTGGTGTGGTGATAGCTGAAGTGGATGCGGTGGTGATGTGATGGGTGATGGTGATGTGATGGTGTGGTGATGGTGATGGTGATGGTGATGGTGATGGTGGATGGTGCTGGTAGGGGATGGGGTGTGCCTGATGCTGATGCTGGGAGCTGATGATGATGCTGGGAGCTGATGCTGATGATGCTGATGCTGGGATGCTGATGCTTGCCGCTGATTCTGATGGCTGATGCTGATGGTGATGGATGGTGATGGTGATGGTGATGGTGTGGTGATGTGATGGTGATGGTGATGGTGATGGTGAGGATGATGGTGATGGTGATTTGTGATGTGATGGTGGATGTGATGTGATTGGTGATGGTGATGGTATGGTGATGGTGATGGTGATGGTGATGGTGATGGTGCTGGTGATGGTGATGGTTGTCATGATGATGGTGATGACGACCCCAACCCAAAGCCAAGGCAAGAAAGATTACTACCCTCACCGCACCGCGGCGAACCCTGGCGAACCCAGGCCGCTCGGGGCTCCTGGACTCGGCGGCGAGGAGGGGGAGGAGGAGGAGGAGGAGGAGGAGGAGGAGGAGGAGGCGGAGAAGGAGGAGAAGGAGGAGGAGGAAGAGGAGGAGGCAGCAGGAGGAGGAGGAGGAGGAGGGGGAGGGGGAGGAGGAGGGAGAGGAGGAGGAGGAGGAGGAGGAGGGGGAAGAGGAGGAGGAGGAGGAGGAGCAGCAGAAGGCCCTCTCAGAAGAAGGCGGGGCTTCTCAGAAGCCCTCGCGCCTTCCGAGAAGCTCTCTGCGCCTCCGTGGAAGGCTCAGGAAAAACTTCTCGGAAGACCGAAGACTTCCGAGCCCGCTGAGAAGGCCTCCCCCATTCTCACTTCCCCCCTGGGCTCGCCGCCGACGGGCGCAGTGGGCGGCGCCGACCGCCTTGACGGGCGAGGCCGCAGCGACTGCGGGTGCTGTCCCCGGCGGGGGCCGTCCCGCCCAAGGGCCGCAGGGGGAAGCGGGCGGGCTCCCCGCAGGGCGCCGCTCCCTCGCCCTGGCGAGCAGCTCCGCGCGGACAGCGCGCGGGCACGCGAGCGCAGGCGGCAGCAGCGGCACGGTGCCTCCCGCCGCCTCGCTGCGCGCTGCGTGGCACAGCTTCGCGCGCGTGCGCTTGACCGCCCGGACAGTAGGTGCGCACATCCTCCCCGCCTCTCACCTCCCACTCCACTGCTTCCTTCCTGCCCCCCTCCCTCCACATCCCCATCACACCCTCCTCCACCCCCTCCTCCCCCTCCCACTCCCCTGCCTCTTCCTCCTCCTCCTCCTCCTCCTCCTCCTCCTGCGGAAGAGGTCCGTCACAACGTACGCCGCGCTCTTCTTCTAGGCGCAAATCAGAAGACACCCTGCCACTGCCCCACCAGCAAACCGGGGTGCCGATTCTCGTGCCGCTGGCCAGGCCTGGCGGGTGGCCATCGGCCGTCGAAGCCTCGCCATACAGAAACGAACGCTGCAAATGCAGGAACAAGGAGACAAATCTACCACCCCCGCGGAATTCGGAGACAGAGCGCCGCCGCCGCCGCAGCGGCCAGCATTCTTCTCCATCCCGCCCTCCTTCTCCCACCCCGCCTCATGTTTCGTTGTCCTCCCTCGCCCTGCATCCCCTTCCTGGTATTCCCCTTAGTATGTTGTATGAATATCATTAGTAGTATTAATAATATTATTAGTGATAATAATACGATTCATATGATTATTTTTGTTTGTTTGAGTATTCGTATTGTTTATATTATTAAAGTGGGTACGATTAATAGTTATAGTGATAGTCTTACTATCAACACCATCAGTAGTATCATTAGTAGTGTCAGTAGCACTGTGATTATAAATACTATTATCGTGCTTCACCTTATTGATTTATGTGTTCTATCATTCGCATTATTGATTCATTATTCTTAGTAGTTGTCTAAATATTATTCGTATTAGTATTAGTCCTTGTACTAGTATTCAATGTTCTTGATGTTAACCATATTACTACTACTACTACTACTACTACTACTACTACTACTACTACTACTACTACTACTACTACTACTACTACTACTACTACTACTACTACTACTACTACTACTACTATTACTACTACTACTACTACTACTACTACTACTACTACTACTACTACTACTACTACTACTACTACTACTACTACTACCACGACCACTAACCACCACCACCACTACTACTACTACTACTACTACTACTACTACTTACTACTACTACTAATACTACTACGACTACGAACAAACTACTACTACGACTACTACTACTACGACTACTACTACTACTACTAACTACTACTAGTACTACGACTACTACTACTTACTACTACCTACTACTACTGTACTACGACTACCACTACCACTACACTACCACTGCCACCACACCACTACTCTCTACTACTATACTGCTACTACTACTTCCTACTCTACTAACTACTCCTACTACTACTCCAAACCACCCCCACTAACTACTACTACTAACTACGACGACGACGACCGACTACTACTACTAACTACTACGACGAACGACTACTAACGCTCCTACTACTACTACTACGAAAACTACTTCTACTACGTCCACTACTAACTAAAACTCCTACTACTACTGCGCTACTACTACTACTACTACCTACTACTACTACTATCTCCTACTACTATTACTACGACTACTAAACACTACTACTCTACTACTACGACTTCTCCACTACTACGACTTCTCCTCCACTACTACTAACTCACTACTACTACTACTCCTACTCCTACTCCTACGACGACTACCACTACTACCATACCACTACTACTACTACTAACTACTACACTACTACTACTACTACTACTACTCTACTACTTACTACTAATACTAACTCCTACTACTACTAACTACTACCTACTACTACTACTACTAACTACTACTAACTACTAACTACTACTACTAAACTACTACCACTACTTACACTACTTACCACTACTACAACTAACTACAACTACTACTACTACTACTACTACTAACTACTACTACTACTACTACTACCACTACTACTACTACTACTACTACTACTACTACTACTACTACTACTACTACTACTACTACTACTACTACTACTACTACTACTACTACTACTACACCCCCTCTCCTCCCTTCTCCCTCCTCCCTCCTCCCTTGTCCTCCTCGGAGCGCGCGAGGCGCAGAGCTCACGCCTGAAGAGCGCGCCAGAGGGCGCTGGCACTCCTGGCGGGCGCCGCCGACCGATGACGCGGCCACCGCGGCTGCCGAGATGGAACGCCGCTCCTGGGTGCGTCCGAACGGTGCCTCCGAGAAGCTCCAGAGACCTGGGAGATCTCCAGAGGCCCACGGTTGCGTGAAAAAATCAAGCGGCACTCCCCCCTTCCCCCCGCAATCCAAGGTTGGCACGTTGGCGCATCACGGGTCCGACACTCAAACTCGGAAGATCCGAACCCAACATTGCATTCGGGGGGAGGGGGGGAGCTCAAGCCATACGTTTAGGTCAGGCCTGTCCCCCTACAGGGGGATTTTGGGCGAAAAAAAAAAAAAAAAAAAAAAAACGCCCAAACATAACTTTTAAAAAAGAACAAAGTCCCCAGACTATTTTTGAACTATTTTCGAATATTCCCCCTGTAGTGGGACAGGCCCGACTTAACCGTACGTCACGCGTGAGTGTCGCTTGATTGCTCCGACACGGAAACCTCCAGGGAGGGGGAGGGAAGGAGAACGGGAAGACCTCCAGGGAGGGGGGTGGAACAGACAGGGCGGAAGACTCGGAGTCGCAGTCGCATGGCAGAGAGACGCGACGCGAACCTGCGTGGAAGATGTACAACAGGTGGAGGAGCTGGAGGGGAGGAGGAGCAGCAGCACCTGGGACCATGAGAGGGACGAAGGGTAGCAAATAGGAGGTCCTGTTCCACCTCCTCTCCTCCTCCTCCTCCTCCTCCTCCTCCTCCTCCTCCTCCTCCTCCTCCTCCCTCTCCTCCTCCTCCTCCTCCTCCTCCTCCTCCTCCTCCTCCTCCTCCTCCTCCTCCTCCTCCTACTCCATCCCTTCCCCTGAGAAATAACTCCTCCCTGTCGCACCCCCCCCAGACGTGTCGATAGGGCGGGCCGGGAGTTTCGCCTGAGACTTCCTGGCCATCCATGATCCTGAAGCGTGAACTTTGCAACAGTTTCACGGACGGAGGGCCGGTCATTCTCACACTACTATGGTTCTCGCCTTAGCGCCGCGCAGTCGTCTTGAAGGTTTGCAGCACCTTCACGGATGGAGCGCGGCCCCTTTCCAGAGTGTGGCTCTCGCCTTACGCCGCGCACACTCGTCCCAAAAGCTTGCAACAGTCTCACAGATGGAGGTAAGGCAAGTTCCAAATGTGGCTGTCGCCTCAGCGCCGCGCACAGTCGTCTTGTTAAAAGATTCGCATGCTCCAAGTCCCCGGAATGGTGTTCTGGCACGGTTTAGGATTCTCAGAAGGCAACAGTAACTATGATTCGCGTTGTTGAAGTCCCAGGAATGGTATTCTGGCACGGTTTAGGATTGTCAGGACGCAACAGTCACGTTGATCCCTGGCGTTGGGCAACTCCCATAATGAAAGCAATGGGCCAACTCCCATAATGAAAGCAAATTCTTATACGGACCTATGAAGAGGGAAATTGGAAGCATGGCTATTGCAAGATCGTTGATGCGACGTGGGTTTACACTGGTCATCCTCCTCGTCCTCCTCCTCCTCCCTCCTCCCTCCTCTCCAACCTTCCACCTCCCTCCTCCCTCCTCACCGTAGCAAGTTTGGCTCAAGGCTCCGTGCGCGAGCGGCCCCCCGGTTTCATGCAGGGCAGCGGCGCACCTGTGCGCCGCAGCCTTATTGAAGGGGCCCTGGGACACACAAGTAAATGCACACAAATAAAGATATTCCCCATATTTTCCCATAGTTTCTGGGGTTTTGTTTTCCCCCCCACTTCCCATATTTTCCCATATTTTCTGGGGAATCAACGATTAATTGTGTCTGTGTGTTTTTTCCCCTCCTGAGTAACACCGTCGCGGCGCTGTGTGACCCGATGGCTCCAGCGTTCCTGTCGTCGAGCATTAAGGATTCCGACAGGAGCTAGGACGTCTACGCGCACGTGTTCATGACCACGAGCGTGTACGACACCTTGGATGCGATGAGTGACCCGAAGATGCTATCGTACCTGCAGTCGGCAGTGAAGGTGACGGACGTGAGTGATGTCGCCTTCTACGAGCTGCTGCCCGGCGTGTACCACACGGTCGGGGCGCTGACAGATCCGATGGTTCCAGCGTGCCGTGCGTCGTCCGTGCGGAGTCCGATGAGCAGGGTGTTGAGACGACCCTGGTTTTGTTTTAAGCATCTGGCTGCTCCTGCCACTGAGAACAGCACATGCCCATTCCAACGTTCGACGACGACCTCGCCCCTCCCTCCTCTCTCGTCCCGTTACCATCATGAGCATCATCATCATCTTCATCATCGTCTTCTTCATTAGCATCAGCATCATCACTACACTCAGCATCACCATCAGCATCACCATTATCATCAACATCAGCATCATCATCAGCAGCATCATCAGCAGCAGCAGCATCAACAGCATCATCATAGTGTCGTCGTCATCATGATCGTCATCATCAGCATCATCAGCATCATCAGCATCATCATCAGCAGCATCATCATCATCATCAACATCAGCATCATCATCATCAGCAGCATCATCATCTGCATCATCATAAGCAGCAGCAGCGTCAGCATCATCATCAGCAGCAGCATCACCATCACCATCATCGTCAGCATCAGCATCATCAGCAGCAGCATCGTAATCTGAATCATCAGCAGCATCAGCGACAGCCTCGACATCATCATCAGCAGCAGCGTCATCAGCAACATCAGCATCAACAGCACCATTAGCATCATCAACAACATCAGCATCAGCAGCACCAGCATCATCAGCAACATCAGCATCAGCATCGTCATCATCATCGTCAGCATCATCACCAGCATCATCATCATCACCAGCAGCATAATCATCATCATCATCATCATCATCATCAGCAGCAGCAGCATCATCATCATCATCATCAGCAGCAGCATCAGCAGCATCGTCAGCATCATCACCATCGTCATCATCCTCAGCATCAGCATCATCATCATCAGCATCATCATCATCATCATCATCATCCTCGTCATCATCATCAGCATCTTCATCCCCATCCTCCTCCTCCTCATCCTACTCCATATCGTCCTCCTCCACATCGTCGTCCTCTAACCCCCTCCTCCTCCTCCGCCTCCTCCTCCTCCTCCGTCTTCATCCCTCCTCTCTTTCTCCTTCTCCTCCTCCTCCTCCTCCTCCTCCTTCTCATCCTCCTCCTCATCCTCCTCCTCATCCTCATCTTCCTCCTCCGCCTCCTCCTCCTCCTCCTCCTCCGCCTCGTCCTCAGCATTTTCCTCC